ATTAGAAGTAATATTTGAGATTTTACAAAATGAAAAAATTGCTAAACAACAAACTATTTTAAATCATTTGATAGAATTTTTGTCACAAGCAAAATCCAATGAAGGTGAACTGGTTAACTACTGCTTCAAAAAATTAATTGAAATTCATGTTTTAGAATCAGTAGAAAATAGTAGATTTTTAACTAGAGCTATCTTGTATTGTGGTTTCTATTTGAAAAATGATCAAATCGATGAAGTTTTGACTATAGTAAACAATTTAGATCCTAATGCATCTACTAGTTTTATTAAAGAATTAATTGATTTGTTGTTTTCTGAAGATATCTCAAAGGAAGATAAAATATTTTTTGAATCCAACTTTGCATTCAAAGTTCTATCTGTATGGTGTGTAGGTGAATATGGTTCATTAATTATAGAAACATTAGATAAAAGTAGTTCACAAACAACTTCCCAACAAATTGTTGACTACTTTTATAAGATTAATAATGATTATTATAATACAATTGAAAATGATTCAGCCTCTTTTATTATAAGTTATTTGGTAACAGCAGTAGCTAAAATATCAACTTATATTCAAAATAAAGCATTAATAGAAAAGTTGAGACAATTATTAGTTTTCCATTCTAATAAAACTGGAAATCTAATCATCAGTGTTAAAAGTAATCAATTGCTAAGTCTTTTCTCTCAACCCATTGACAAAAAAAGACAGATTTTTGCTAAAATGCCAGAATATAAACATGAAGGTAATCGAATTAAAGATACATATAGTGTTAAATCTAATACTACTGTTCAGCAAGTAGACTTGTTAAGTGATCTATTTGCTTTAACTAATGTTCAAACATCTAAAAATTCCAATAGTCTAGATATTCCTTCTAATAGTAAAGAAATTTTTTCTAATGATTCATTGAAAATATTCTATAGTATTCCTGATGGCAAGCCTATTTTAAATCATGAAGCAAATTTAGACGTTTACTATAAAAATACTAGTCAATTTGAAATTTCTCAAATGCATGTTTTTGTTGCTGTTGGAAAGTCTCAAAATATAGAAGTTGGTCATTTAACAAATACTGATATTCCAAGCAATGGTATTTCTAAGCAAACCTTTAAAATAATGGGGCAAGGTCATTTAATGACTAGAATAAAATTGCAATATCAAATTAATGGTGTTCCTTCTGTAGAACAGTTTGACTACAAATTTGATAAAGATATATAAGAATTAAAAATATATATATATATATACATAAACTCCTTTTTATTTCTTTTTTTTAAGCTGAAAATCCAGAAGCTTTAGCAGCCTTTTGTAATAATTGATCTTGGAATTGATTGCTTATCTTTGTGGTATCGATTTTAACTTTACCATTGAAAATATACTTTTCAGAGATTGGTTGAATGAATTTATTGTAGATAAATTTAGCACCTCCAGTTTGTGGAACAGCAGTGAAAACTAAGAATAAAGTTTTGAAAAAAAAGTAAAATGGAATCCAGCCTAAAATAGATTTACTCCAAAATTCAATAACACTGAAGAATCCGTAAACGACCCAATAGATTAATAAATCAGTATCATCGTTTTGATCAGCAGTTCTTAAAGCTCTTAATGACAAATAAGATGGATAAATAAAACCAATAGTGTTACATAAAATTTGACCAAAACCACCAGCATCTAATAATACTAAAAGGAAGTAAAATGAAACAGATCCATAAACTAAATAACTTCTTGGTAATTTGGTCTTTAAATGAAAAGTATCAAATAATTTGTAACCAGTTAGATTTTTTTCTAAATTCTTGATTTGTGAGTTAACAACTTCCATTTTATGTATTTCTTTTTAATAATTGGTTTTTATTAAATATTTTATGATATATTAGTAGTTTAAAAAAATTTTTAAGTTTTTTTGGTAAAATATATAATAATTTTGGAAGAAAAAGAAAAAAATGAGATATGAAAAATAATAAAAATTTCAAGTCTAAATATAAAACTCCCAATTTTTTTTTTTTTCCCCTCGTATTTTTTTTTTCTTTTTTTATAGCTAAAAAAGTATGATCCATTGTTACAAAATATATAAATAAATTTAAAAAATTTTATACGTTTTTTATCGGTTAGTATTTTTACCACACATGACTTTTAATTTAATATGTTTATGGTAGAACTGAAAAGACAATTAATATTCTTTTCTAATATTTTTTTAATAGTAGACAGTTCTTATAGAAGTCTCGTATAGAACAAATTTTCTTTTTCATGAATATTATCCCTTCGTTTCTAAAAAAAAAAAAGAAACGCAGTTGTTGTTAACAGCTTTTGATATTCTTTGTGAGTGATCTTTATTTGAACTATTTTTAATTTTTTTCAATACTTTTTTGTTTATAATTAAATCTTTTATTTAATAATATGAATATATCATTCTCCTACAACAAGTTTCTATAACTAAAAAAAAATTCAATATTAAAAAGGCATATCAATTCTAAAATTTTCTTATTATTGATATGTACATATGAATACTCTTTTTAATTTAATTTGTTAAATGATAATGGATCAGTAATTTATATATATTAAAAGCTATATATCTTGATATTTTATCATGAACTGAACGTATATTGCACATCAGTAATCTTTTTAAATATCTATTTATCAAACAATATAGTGAGCTGCAACAAAGAAAAAATAATTTCAATAAATAATTAATAGCTTCTTTAGCTCAGTAGGGAGAGCGCCAGACTGAAAATCTGTAGGTCCCGCGTTCGATCCGCGGAAGGAGCATTTTATTTAAATATATTTTTTTGTTTACTCCAACAATTTTTTTTTTTAATTAATTAAAAATTTAAATGTACATTTAATGTTTACATATTAAGTTTATAGTTATAATTATATTTAATTTTTCAAATAAAATGTAATCATTATTATTTTTTTTTTGAATATAAATATTTATATATAAATTTTTACTTAAAAAAATGATATTTCATGAATTGTTGCTCCAAATTTCTCTTTGTCATCCCCATTTAATGGTAAATCATATTCACCTTCCCACCCATAGATGCCTTCAAAACTTAACATAATAAATCTTGTTTCAAAATCATCAAAATTGGAACATGAATATTCTTGATTTTCTGGTTTATTATAAATATTTTGTTCATGGTTAGCATTTGGATTCTCTTTCAAATGAAGATCAGTATGTTTACAGAATTTTGTGTAATCAAAATCAAAACTTGTTTCATTTGAAGAAGGAATTTTCACTTCATCACCATAATCAAGTTTTTTATTGTAAGGTTGAGTTACTTCCACATTATAATTTTCAATCAATAACATAGATATATTTTTGAAAGATTCAGCTTTTATTTTTCCTGAAGCTAAAGCAATTTCTAATTCATTAAGTTTGAAATCATATTCTCTTTTAGTTAAATGTGGGTATTTGTTCAAACTTGATTCAACTAAAATATGCTGAGCTACATCCAGTAGTTTGGTATTTGGTAAAGCATAAACAGAAAAGTTTTTAGCTGGTCTTTCACCCCATATAATTGTACCACCTTTCAAAACTGTAGAATCTTTAGGTCCTATATCAATGATTATATTTGTTTCTTTCATATCATATGGTTGATAATGAGTTTCATTATTACCATCATTTGCAGATAAACTTAATTCACTAGGAGCTCCTTTATTCAAACTAGAAATCAACTTACACTCAGCGATATTACCAGGTATATTTTCTTCAATCTCATATAATTCTAATTCCAAAGTATCAAATGGATTTAAATAATAGGTATCATGTAAATCATCTTCCTCACTTCCTTCAAAGGAATGTAAATCTCCTTTATGACATTCCAGACATTCTCTACTAGGCACTTTGATAACAACAGTATTTGTACCAAGTTTATAATCAATCACAGCAATGTCATCTGATATGGTTATATCAAAGACACCTTCTAGGTACTTGAAATTTCTTATAGATATTCCACCTGGTAATAGTTTCAATGGTTTTGGATTAAATTCTAAACATTTTTCAATTTTTCCTTTATCTATGAAATAATTAAATCTTAACCCTGTTAATCCAAATACAACACTTTGTAAAAATGCACCATGTGCAGTCAAGAAAGGAAATGCAGGTGGAAATCTGGCATTATAATCATCTGCTTGTTCACTAAATTGTGCAAATGGTAATCTCAAGTAAGGAATAACTGATTTATAGAGAAATGATTGAGAAGAACAACCATGATTTAAAATACTATTCGCGACAGCAACATATATTTGATAAGACATGGCTGGCCCATCAGTCGCTTGTTTTAAAGTGTAAAACTTTAAATCATTTAACATATTTTCATAATGAGTTTGCTTATTGAAAGAACCTAATGGGAAAATGTTTAATAAAACATCTGCTTGTTTAGTTATTATGGAAGAATTCATTCCTTCATATTCAACAGTAATATTATTTTTGTTGATTGGAATATACATTTTATAAAAAATATCAGTCCATCTTTCAGGTATTTCAATATCCAAGTGTTTACTAAAATCAATAGCCCAACCAAAAAGAGTTTTTATTGCAAAATTTGTGTATGCTCCATTGTTAATATGATTAGCATATTCATCTGGATCAGTCAAATTGAAAGTTTCATATCTATGCATTGTATCATTATATTTCACATATGCAGACATAAACTTACAAACATCACTCATTCTTGGCCATAATGTATATCTCAAAAAAGTATCACTATTAAAACCATCTTCCTGTTCATTGAAATTTCCTGATAAATAATAAACCATCATTGAATAAACAATATCGATATTAATATGATATTCATAGTCAATCGCAGGTCCAGTACTTGTTTCATTAGAAAATCTTGCAGCTGTCCAAGGATAACAAACCATTCCATTGTCTTCATACCCATGCTTTACACAATTTTGTCTAGCATCTGCTATAGAAGCATTTCTGTAAATTAGCATATTTTTAGCAACTTTAGGGAAAAATGGAAGCAATGAAGGTAAAACCCAGAAATCAGCATCCCAAAATACCATTCCACCATAAGAATCTGAAGAAATACCAGTTGGTGATACTGGCAATCCTCTATCTGGATTAACATTTACCTCTCTAACATTAGAGATAATATGAAATAGAGAGGATCTAATGACCATTTCTAAAAGAATATCACTTGGAATTTCAATAAAACTTTCTCTTTTATAGAAATCATTCCATCTGTTCAAATGAAGAATTTTCAATTTATGATATTCCATTGGAACACTATTAGAATCAACAATGTTTAATATTTCCCTCATTGATAAATCTAAAGGATCTTTTGATTCATCGGAAACATATTCTGAAGAATGGATTGATACAAGTTTTGTCACTCTAATACTTCTACAGTTTTCAATATTTGAATTCCAATCTTCAAATACAATTTGGTGGGATAAAAATTTGGTTTTTTTATCTTTTAAAAAAATTTCTGTATAATCTTGAGAATATGTTCTTGGATGGATTTTATGTTTTAACAGAGCTTTTAAAGAATCTTTTAAATTTTCTTCCTGTTCAGAACATGTATTTATATGAACTGTTTGGGATATACCAGCAGTTGAATAAGGAACATTAATAGGAGAAACTTGCATATACATGACCCCCTTATCCTCAAGAAAATCATAATCTCCTAAATCGATTCTTTCACCTGTTTCAGATTGTAACTTGCTCTCAATGATAAGTTTAAATGATTTTTTATTCTCATTTGAAGTTTTTACCATATCACCAACATATGTAATATCTATAACAACAGAACTCATTGAATAAACTTTTTTATTTGCTATGACTTCTGTAGTAATTTTTATTCTATCAAGCCATATGAAAGAAGTAGTTAGTATACCTGATCTCATAGACAAAGTTTGGGTATAATTACTTATAGTATCTGGATTTATAGTATTATCAGATGCATCCAACTTATGTGAAACATCATTTTCATCAATAAATTCAATTGTCCAATCATTCCAATAAGGGATAGCAGAAATGACACTTGGCCATCCATCTTTATCAAGTTCTGGGAAATTTGTTGCAGGCAATTTTGGTATTAAACAGTAAAAATCACTTAAATAAGCACCAGTGTATCTTCTGTTATGAAGAGGCCAACTATTATTCAAAATAGTACCACCAGAGTCATCATTGTCATAAGAAAAACCAAAACCTAAATTACTGGTTCTCAATCCAATATAACCATTGGAAACATATGCTTGTTTAGAAAATTTATTTGAACTATGGAAACCTGTAGAAATCAACTCCATTTTCAATGAATCATAAACAAAATTATTATGGTCTTGAATTACTGATAACCATTGTAAAGATTTATCTCTGTACAACAGTATTTGCTCAAATTTTTCAATAGCATTCATTTCAATAGTTTCTAAATCATCAATTTCTTCATTTATCATCTCATCATCAAAATAGTCCTTTTCTTCATCAAGTTTATCATTATCTGTGAGAATAGCAGCATCAACATAAATTCTTTTATGTATTCTATTTTTCAGTTTATTGAAACGATTTTTCAACTTATTATTGGAATTTAAAGGATAGTAATGGCATTTACTTTGGTCCAAATAGCAATCCATATATTTTTTGATTAAAGAATTTGCATAGACATTGTTATCATCCAGTTTATTATATTCTTTAATCAAAACTTCATTAGCTCTACCAACACCACCATGTTTTTCGTGACAAGTAGCTTTTAATTTCTGTAAAAAATTGGTTTTTGAAGTATCGCATTTACTATAATCATAAAAGTATTGAAGATCTTTGAATGTTAAAGTTACACCTGCAGAATGAATCCAAGTATGCCAAATTAAAAAGAAAACAGATGATATACAGATAAAAACTGTTAGAATATATTTTTTGGAATTGTTGTGATGATGTATCAACATTGTGTTATTATCAATTTTTTTTATATTAGAATAAATATAAACACACAAATTATTAAATTTTTTTTTTTTTATTAGTCAGTTTTTAAAAAAAAAGCACGTAGTTTTTAGATTTTTTATTATTATCTTTAATTAAAGATGGTAATAGTAAAAATTAATAATAATTGGTTACTGGGTTATCAAATATTCTTTATATATAAAGTAAATAAATATTTAATTTAATAAAAACATATTATATAAATACTGAATATATATATAGTAGCAAAAAAAAAAAATGAAAATCCTAGTAAATCTGATAAACATAATAGTCCCTTTAAAAATTTATTCTATTTTGTGTAATATATATATATATATATTTTACCTCCTTAAAAAAAAAAAATACCCCCCATTTAAACTAATATTTATATCTCTGCTTCTTTTTTTTCCCCTACCTCCCCATAAAAATGCAAAAATGGATATAAAATTATTTAATTGATAGAGCGGCTGAAAATAATAATTTACCCCACAATTATTTCTTTAAAAATATATATATATATATATTACCCTGACATGATATATTTTTGATGTTCACATAATTTTTTAAAAAGACTCACGTGATTAAAATGATATTTTTTTTACATCTTTTCAGAAAACAAAATCTTATTGGTGTACTTATATCCGAGACACTGGCCAATAAAAAAGTTTTTGTCAAATCTCTCAAAGTTAATATATATGTTTAAAAAACCTACACCAAAAAACAAAAAAAAAACGTGAATCTTCACACATACACATAAACTATAAAGAAAATTTTTTTGTTGTTTTTTTTTTTTAGTGTGTGAAAAATCAAAAAAAATTTTTTTTTTTTAGTTTTTTTGCTTTATTTCTTTCCAACATATATA